TTGAATATATCTGGTGAATCCATGTGGTCCATCGTGTCATCATTCAAAGCCATTATTTTCTTGTTAATTTTCTGTTTAGGTAATGTGTCCACTGATGTAAGAGGGGTGTTAAAGTCCCCTACTATTATTATATTATTATCGATTGGTTCCTTTATGTTTGTTATTAACTACTTAATGTATTTGGGGAGCTTCTATGTTGGGTGCACAAATAATGTACAATTGTTACAGCCTCTTGTTAGATCATCCCTTTTCTTTTTTTTTTTTTTTTTTTTTTTTTTTTTTATTGTGTTTTTTTTTTTTTTTTTTTTTTTTTTTTTTTTTTTTTTTTAATTTTTATTTATTTATGATAGGCACACAGTGAGAGAGAGAGAGGCAGAGACACAGGCAGAGGGAGAAGCAGGCTCCATGCACCAGGAGCCCGACGTGGGATTCGATCCCGGGTCTCCAGGATCGCGCCCTGGGCCAAAGGCAGGCGCCAAACCGCTGCGCCACCCAGGGATCCCGATCATCCCTTTTCTTATTGTATAGTGTCCTTCTTTGTCTCCTGTTATGATCTTTTTTTTTTTAGATTTATTTATTTATTTATTTATTTATTTATTTATTTATTTATTTATTTATTTAATTTATGAGAGACACAGAGAGAGAAGCAGGCTCCATGCAGGGAGCCCGATGTGGGACTCGATTGTGGGTCTCCAGGATCACGCCCTAGGCTGAAGGCGGCGCTAAACCACTGAGCCACCGGGGCTGCCCTGGTCTTTGTTTTAAAGTCTATTTTGTCCGATGTAAGTATTGCTACCCCAGCTTTCTTTTGGTATCTGTTTGCATGATAAGTGTTTCTGCATCCCTTTACTTTCAATCTGCAGGTCTCTCTTGGTCTGAAATGAGTCTCTTGTAAGCAGCATATAGATGGGTCTTGTTTTTCGTGTTTTTGTTTTTGTTTTTTATCCACTCTGTCATCCTGTGTCTTTTGACTGGAGCCTTCAGTCCATTTATACTCAAAGTAATATTGATAAATATATATTTATTGCTATTTTGTTACTTGATTTTGGTTGTTTGTATATTCTCTGATCCTTTCTTTCTCTTTTTCATGTTTTTTTTTTTTTTTTATTTATGATAGTCACAGAGAGAGAGAGAGAGAGAGAGAGGCAGAGACACAGGCAGAGGGAGAAGCAGGCTCCATGTACCGGGAGCCCGACGTGGGATTCGATCCCGGGTCTCCAGGATCGCGCCCTGGGCCAAAGGCAGGCGCCAAACCGCTGCGCCACCCAGGGATCCCTCTTTTTCATGTTTTGTTGGCTTTCTTTGATATACTTAGATTCCTTACTCTGTATTCCTTGCATATATTTCATTGTTTTTTATTTATGTTTACCATTAGGTTTCTATATAACATCTTCTGCATATAGCAATCTGTATTAAGTTGATGGTCACTTAAGTTTAATACCATTCTTTACTCCTCTGCCCCCCATGTTTTAGGTATATGGTGTCCTATTTTGCATCCTTTTATTTTACGAGTCCCTTGACTGATTTATAGAAATACTTATTTTTACTGCTTTTGTATTTTTTACTTTTCATAATCTCACTTATGGTCTTAATTTCCACTCAAAGTGTCCCCTTGAATATTTCTTGTAGTACTAATTTAGTGGTCCTGAACTCCTTCAGTTTTGTCAGAGAAACTATCTTCTTTTTTTGCCTTGCTGGATAGAGTATTCTTGGCTGTAGATTTTTCTCTTTCAGCACTTTGCAGGCCAGAAGGGAATGACATGACATATTCAAAGTTCCTGCTGAAAAATCCACTTACAGCCCTATGGGGTTTCACTTGTATATAACTGTCTTCTTTTTCTGGCTGCGTTATTTTTTTATATATTTATTTATTTGTTTATTCACTTATGAGATACACAGGCAGGGGGAGAAGCAGGCTCCCTGTGGGGAGCCTGATGTGGAACTCGACCCACATGATCCCAGGACCCCAGGATCACAACCTGAGCCAAAGGCAGATGCCACTGAGCCACCCAGGCATCCCTTTCTTGCTGCCTTAAAAAACCTTTTATTGGGATCCCTGGGTGGTGCAGCAGTTTGGCGCCTGCCTTTGGCCCAGGGCGTGATCCTGGAGACCCGGGATCAAATCCCACGTCGGGCTCCCGGTGCATGGGGCCTGCTTCTCCTTCTGCCTGTGTCTCTGCCTCTCTCTCTCTCTCTCTCTCTCTCTCTGTGTGTGACTATCATAAATAAATAAATAAACAAACAAACAAACCTTTTATTCACTACTCTTTGCCATTTTAATTATGTGTATTGTGTGGACTTACTTGCATTGAGTTTTTGTGGGAATCTCTGTGCTTCTTGGATCTGGATCTGGATATCTGTGTTGTTCCCCAGAGTAAGGAAATTTTCAACTATTATTTCTTCAAGTAAATTTTCTGCCCTCTTACCTCTCTCTTCTTTTTCTGAGATCCTTATAATGTGGATGTTATTATGCTTAATGGAGTCACTGAGTTCCCTAAGACTATGCTCAATTTACATAATTTTCTGTCCTCTGCTTTGCTCAGCTTGGTTAGTTTCCATACTCTGCCTTTCACGTTATTAATTCATTCTTCTGCTTCATCTAGTCTGCTATTTATGCCATCAAGTGTATTTTTAATTTCACTTATTGTGTTCTTCATCTCTGATTGGTTCTTTTTAAAAAAGATATATTATTTTTCTGACCAAAGTGCAATGATTTTAAATCTCCTTAAGTAACCAGAAAAGGACTCAAGAACATAAAACAAAAATGGGAAATTAACCATTAGATATTTTTATTTCATACCAACCCTACAATTTGTCTGGAAAACAAACAAAAACACTTTAAATGACATGTTACTAAAACACTAACCAAATAATTTTACCATAAGCCTAGTACATGCACTTCAAGATTTCACTGCTAGGAATTTTGTGAAGACCAGTTTAATCATTAATAACACTATATAATAGGGCACAGGAACACATGTCCTTAAATGTAGTTCTTGCCCCTTACCCTCAGAGTTATATCAGAGTAAAGCTGACAGTTCTACTAAGCCCGGAGCCCCCAGTGACCCCATCCCAATCCCTGGAAGCAAAGAAGATGCCCTGTCACACAACTTTCTATAAGTTGTAATAAAATAAAGCCTTAGTTTTCTTACCTTCCTATAGGAAATGGTCATTTATTTGATAAATACTAAAGCACTTCTAGGAATTCATTTTAGGAGTTTGTTTACCAAACACATTTTGTAAGAACTGTTTACACAAAAAGTTCCTTTGGAATTTGGTCTACAAATTCACTTAAAGGTTGGAAATTTAAAACCTATAAGAAAATGAAGTAGGGAATCCCTAACCCTAACATATTGTAATTACTAAAGGGATAACCACACATACTAAAAAGTTTTGCTCACAGAAGACACGGACTTTAAGCGATGTGCATTTTGAGTAAAAACAACTAGCTGATATTGTTTGTTTTTTTTTTATCTCTTTGTTAAGGATCTCACTGATGTCCTCTACTCTTAAGTCCAGTGAGTATCTTTGTGATCATTACGTTAAATTCTCTATCAGGCACATTACTTGTATCCATTTCACTTTGGTCTCTATCTGTGGTTTGGTCCTGATCTTTTATTTAGAAGATGTTTCTTTGTCTCTCATTTTGTCTAACTCTCTGTGTCTGTTTATTTCTCTGCGTTAGGAAAGTCAGCTACTTCTCTTGCTTTGTGAAGAAGAGGTCCTGTAGTGGCCTGCCACACAGTGTCCCCTGTCCCCAGGACCTGGCATTCCTGTGAGGCTCTCCTATGTATGTTGTATATGCTCCACTGTTGAATCATGGCCTTGTTTCCCTTCAGTCTGGTTGTGTGCAGAGGCTGCCTTTGCCTGTTGTGGGCCCTGAGGTGTGTGGTAGTCTGCTCGCAAAAGGAGACCTGCCCCCACCGCTACTGGAAGTGATGTCCTGCAAGATGCACAGTCCAGGAGATGTGGTTAACAGGTTTGCGCTGGTGTTGGGGGATGGGGCCCACGGGACCAGGACTGACCTGAGTCTGCCTGGGAAGGACAGATCCGCCAAAGCTTGGGGGCGGGGGCGTTGGGCCTTGGTGCTGGCAAGTTGTTAGAGGAGAGTCTGCTGTGCTCTTTCCCATAGGTGGCGGTTGTTGATGCTGGGGTTGGGGTTGGGGGAATGGCACCTGCCAGCTCCTCTGTTCCTGAGGGGTCTCCCTGTGCTTGCTAGCTCTCCTGGCCACACTCGGAGATGAGCAAATCACTCTCCCTCCTATCCGCCCCAGGTGTATTTGCAAGCTGTTGGTTCTACGCAGTACCTGCACAGACTGTCCTGCAGGGACGCTGCTTCCTAATGCCCTCCAGTCTCTCCCAGAGCCAAGCCCACTGAGTTTTAAAAATCCAGGCTAAGCCCCGCTGGTATTAAGAACTCATGAAATTTAGCCCCTCTCCCTATCAAAGGCAAATATTACAGAAACTCATCCTCCCCATTTATGGGCTCCCTCCCTGGTGTGAAAGTCTGTTTTCCGCCTTTGTGGGTGCCATGTGCTCCCGCTCCCCCACTGACCGCCATGGTCTGTTCCACTCCCTTACGGCATCTTCCCCCTTCTATCTTCTTCACTGTGACTTCTTCCCTGTCTTTAGTTGTGACGTTTGTTCTGGCAGTCTGGGTTATTTATGCTGATATGGGTGTTATCTAGATGGATCTGTGAGATGTGGCAAACATCTTATGGCCATCATCTTCCCAGGCCTCTGGGTACTAATTTTATATCCTGCAACTTTACTGAATCCATTTATTCTAGTAGTTGTTTGGTGGAGTCTTTAGGATTGTCTATGTCTAATATCATGTCATCTGCAAATAGTGACAGTTTAACTTCTTTACTAACATGGATACCTCTTTTTAAATTTTGTTGTCTGCTAGCTATAGGTAGGACTTCTAGTATTATGTTGTTGTTTTAAAAGATTTTATTTATTCACAAGAGACACAGAGAGAGGCAGAGACACAGGCAGAGGAAGAAGCAGGAATTGGAGCAAATTGGAATGTCATTCTCACACAGGGGCCATGCTAATCTATATTATTCCAATTTTAGTATATGTGCTGATGGAGTGAGCATGGTGAATGAGCCTTTAATGTATAGTTGAATGCAGTTTGTTAATATTTTGTGGAGGATTTTTGCATCTATGCTCATCAGGGATATTGGCCTATAGTATTTTTGTGATTTCTTTGGTTTTAGTATCAGGGTGATCCTGGCCTCATAGAATAAGTTTGGAAGCTTTGCTTCCTCTTCTATCTTTTGGAATAGTTTGAGAAGAATGGGTATTAACTCTTCTGTAAATATTTGGCATAATTCACCTGTGAAGCCTTCTGGTCCTGGACTTTTATTTTTTGGTAGTTTTTTTGAATACCAGTTCACTTTTTTTTTTTTTAAGATTTTATTTATTCATGAGAGACACACAGAGAGAGGCAGAAACACAGGCAGAGGGAGAAGCAGGCTCCATGCAGGGAACCCGATGTGGGACTCCAGGGTCACACCCTGGGCCGAAGGCAGACACTAAACCGCTGAATCACCCAGGTGTCCTGTCAGTTCACTTTTGTTACTAGTAATCAGTCTCTCCAGATTTTCTATTTCCTCCTGATTCAGTTTTGGAAGATTGTATGTTTCTAGGAATTTATCCATTTCTTCTGGATTGTCCAATTTGTTAGCAAATGATTTTTTATAATATTTTCTTATAACCCTTTGTATTTCTGTGGTGTTGTTACTCTTCTTTCATTTCTCATTTTATTTATTTGCATCCTTTCTCTTTTTTCTTGGTGAGTCTGGCTGGGAGTAAATCAATTTTATTTTTTCAAGGAACTAGCTCTTGGTTTCATTCTTTTTTTCTTTTTTCTTTTTGTGTGTGTGTGTCTATAACTTTATTTCTGCTCTGATCTTTATTATTTTCTTCCTTCTACTAATCTTGGGCTTGATTTGTTCTTTTTTTAGTTCCTTTAGGTGTATGGTTTAGGTTATTTGAGATTTTCCTTGTTCCTAGAGACAGGCCTGCATTACTATAAATTTCCCTCTTAGAACTGCTTTTGCATCCCAAAGATTTTGGATCATTTGTGTTTTCATGTATTTCTTTAAAATAACTTATATGATTGCTTCCTATTGGTTGCTTAGTATAATGTTTTCTAGCCTCCTCATGTTTTGTGTTTTTTTCCAGTTTTTTTCTTGTGATTGATTTCTATTTTTCATACTGTTGTGGTCAGAAAAGATGCATGGTATGGTTTCAGTCTTCTTAAATTTACTGCCACTTTTTTCGTGGCCTATCATGTTCTGGAGAATGTTCTGTATGTACTCGAATGTGTATTCTGTTGTATTTGTATGGGATGTTCATATATATATCTGTTACGTCCATCTGGTCCAGTGTTTCATTCAAAGACATGCTTTCCTTATTGATTCCCCCTGCCCTGGATGATCTATCCATTGATGTAAGTGGGGTTTTAAAACTCCTTACTATTATTGTATTATCAACTTATTTCTCTATGTTAATATTTGCTCTATATATTTAGGTAATCCAATATTGGGTGAATAGATATTTACAACTGTTATGTCCTCTTGTTGGATTGATTCCTTTATTGTTATGTAATGCCCTTCTTTGTCTCTTCTTACAATCTGTTTTAAAGTCTATTTTCTCTGAGATAAGTATTAGTACTTGGCTTTTTTCTTTTCTATTTTCTTTTTTTTTTTTAAAGATTTTATTTATTTATTCATAGGAACACAGACTGAGAGAGAGAGGAGAGAGAGAGAGAGAGGAGAGAGAGAGGCAGAGACACAGGCAGAGGGAGAAGCAGGCTCTATGCAGGGAGCCCGACGTGGGACTCGATCCCGGGTCTCCAGGATCACACCCCAGGCTGCAGGCGGCGCTAAACTGCTGTGCCACTGGGGCTGCCCTCTTTTCTATTTTCTTGGTAAATGTTTTTCCATTCCTTCACTTTCAGTCTGTCTTTAGGTGTGAAGTGTCTCTTATAGGCAGCATATAGATGGTTTGTGGTGGTGGTGTTTTTTTGTTTTTGTTTTTGTTTTGTTTTGTTTTTTCTTTTTTTAAATTAGTTCCACCACCTTATGTGTTTTGGTTGGAACAATTAGGCCATTTCCATTTAATTATTAATAGGTGTACTTCCTGCCATTTTGTTGTTTTCTGGTTGTTTTTGTAGTTTTGTTCTGGTCCTTTATTCTCTTTCCTTTATTGTGATTGACAAGTTTTGGTAGTGTTAGGTTTGGCTTTCTTTCTCTTTAAATTTTGTGTTTTGGAAGCTAGATGTCTATTTCCTCCCCTGGTTAGTATGGGAAGTTTTCAGCTGTTATTTCTTCAAATGAAGAAATTTCTTTTCTTAAACATAAGATCTTTTTTAAAAAAGAAATCTCTGCCTCCCAATATGGGGCTTGAACTCACAACCCTAAGATCAAGAGTTGCATGCTCTACTGGCTGAGCGAGCCAGGCACTCCTCCTCAAATTTTCTGCCCCTTTCACTTCTTCTGGGGATCCCTATAATGCAAATGTTCTCTTGATGTTATCCAAGAGATCCCTTAACCTATCCTCATTTTAAAGATTCCTTTCTTAGCTTGGGTGCTTTCCGTTGCCTTGTCTTAAAGACTGTTGATATGTTCTTCTTCACCTGCTAATCCACTGTTGATTCCCTCTAGTGTATTTTTCATTTCAGTATTGTATTCTCCAACTCTGATTGATTCTTTTTTATATTTTCTACCTACTGAAGGTCTCACTAACGTCTTGCACGCTTCTTTCCAGCCCAGTGAGCATCTTTACAATCATTATTTTTGGTTCTTTTTTTCATATTATCTCCATTTCATTTAGTTCTTTTTCTGTGGTTTTGTCTTGTTCTTTCTTTTGGAGCATATTCCACTGTCTCCATTTTTCTTGACTTTCTGCATTTCCTTGTATGCATTAGCTGGAATGGTTCCTTCTCAACTTGAAGGAATGATCTTGTGTTTGTCATGACTTATGTAGACTTTGTGTGCTTGGTGACTTTTACTGGCTGGCTGGAGCTGTGGATGGCGTGGCCTGAGGGTTCTGGGGCTCTCCATGTAGTGGGAGCCCTGGCAGGACCCAGCTAACAGTGAAGTAAGGGCAGACTGGTCTCTGGTTTCTCCACACAGTGGGTCCCCCTGACTGGACAGCTGAAGCTAAAGTGGGTGCAAGCTGGGATATGCTGAGGCTCTACACATAGAAGGGACCTTAGCAAGGTAGCTAAAGTTAAGGTGGGGTGTTATCCAGGGTGTCCCAGGGCTCTGTGCACAGATGGTGCCTCGAGGGGTGACAGGGACAGAGGTGCAGTATGGGCCAAGAGGCCCTGGGGCTTCTGCCATAGCAGGCACCCTGGCAGGTCAGCTGAAGCTGAAGTGGGTGCAACACAGGGATCCCATGGCTCTCCAGGCAGTAGGCCCCTGTCAGGATAGCCAAAGCTGAAGCAGACACAGGACATGGTGTCCTGGGGTTCCGGGTGCTGAGGGCACTCTGGCAGGGCCACTGAAACTGAAATAGGTGAGAGCTGAGGTGTCCTGGGGCAGTCTGTGCTGGGACACCCTGGCAGGGTCACTGGAGCTGAGATATTGTGTAGGATGGGAGGTCCCTGGGATCTCTACACGGGGGGTGCCCTGGTGAGATAGGTAAAACTATGTGGGAGCAAGCAAGGGAGGGGGTGCTGGGGCTCTACACACAGAGAGCACCTTGGCAGGACAGATGAAGCCAGAGGGTCAGCCTGTGGTGTCCCAGGAGTCTGCGCACATAGGGTGCCTTGGAGGGGCAGCTGGGGCCTAGGTGGGCTACAGGCTGAGAGGTCTTGGGCCACTCTGCACAGAAGAGGCACAGCTGAAGCTAAAATGGGCACTGGCCGGTATGTGGTCCCTGGGATGTCCACACACAATGTGCCCTGGCAGGACAGCTCTGAAACTCTGAAGGGGTTGCAAGGTGGATTGTCCAAGGCTCTTCACACTGATGGGACAGCTGAAGCCAAATTAGGTTCAGGCTAGGGTTTCCTGGAATGTTCGGTGTATGCCTTGGCTGAATGACTGGAGCCAAGGCCGGTGTGGCAGGAGGATTCCGGGGTGCCCGGTGCAGTAAGTGCCCTGGCAGGGTGGCCGGGACCGATGCAGACATGAGCTGGGGACTCCCCGGGGGCACTTCATGCAGGGAGCACCTCTGGCAGGACAGCTGGATCTGAAGGAGACATCAGTTGGCAGGTTTCACAGTGGTCTGCACCACAGGTGCCCTGATAAGCCACCTGAAGCTGAAGTGGGTGGGCCTGGAGTCTTCCAGCATGCTTTGCGCCTGTCTCCTTGGTATAAATGCCAGAGCTGTTGTGAGCACTAACCAGGGGGGGTCCCCATGCACTGCCCTGTGGCCGCCTTGGTGGGACCAGCGGAATGGTATGTGCTGGGGGCCTGGGGGCAGGCCGGTTTGGGCATCTGGATGGAGCACTGGCCTTGCTGTCAGGGTGGAAGGGCAGCACACACTGCACCCATCAGCCCCTCCCGCCCGGAGAGTGTTCTAGCAGCAGCCCTGCCGTTTAGCAGAGTTCTAGGCCTGGCTCTTCTATGTGCTGGTTGCTCTTTTAAGCCACTGGGTTTTTTTCTGTGCCCGAGGATGGAGGAATCTGTTCCTGGTCCCTTAGTACTATCCCTTCCCACAGACCCTTAATTACTGGGTCTCCGTTTTTCTTGCTGTTCTCTTTCGTTGTTCAGTTGGCCCTCAGTTCTTCAGGAAGAGCCGCTCTATAAATAGATGTAACTTGGTGTGGTCCGTGGGGACAGTGAATTCAGGGTCTTCCTATATCACCATCCGGGGACTGGACCTCGCCTGGCTGAATTGTTTTTTATGCTGACTCTTTAAGGGTGAGGACGCCCTTTCCTCTTTCCATCTGGCTCTCCTAGCATGAAGACCCACTGATTTTTGAAGCTGCTGAAGATAATCCCCACTGGTTTTCAAAGCCAGGTGTTAGGAACTCCTCTTCCCAATGCAGGTCCCCAGGGCTGGGGGTGCCTGGTGTGGGGTCTGATCCTCTCCCTCCTCGGGGCTGGTGGTGCCCCTCCTGTTTGTGGTTAGTCCCACCAGGGGCATGGTCGCCTCCATTCGTCCTACCCTTTTATGTGGCCCTCTCCCTAGATTAACTGTGGAGGGTCTGTTCTTCCTGTCTTGTATTTCCCAAATTTGAAGATTCATGACTTTTATTAATAGTTTTGTCATTATCACTTTTAAGATTTTATTTATCTATTCAGGAGAGACAGAGAGAGAGGCAGAGGGAGAAGCAGGCTCCCCATGGGACCCCAATGCAGGACTTGATCCCAAGACCCTGGGATCCTGACCCCCTAGCCAAAGGGCAGATGCCCAACCACCGAACCACCCAGGTGCCCCAGTCATTATCACTTTTAATATGGTCTTGCTCCTATAATACACTCTTTTAGAACTTTTTTTTTTTTTTAAAGATTTTATTTATTTGAGAGAAGGAGAAGGAGAGGGAGAGGGAGAAGCAGACTCCCTGCTGAGCCGGGAGCCCAGGATCATGACCTGAGCCGGAAGGCAGAGGCTTAACTTACTGAACCATCCAGGTGCCCTTTGTTTAGAACTTCTAGGTATATACTGAATCTTCTCATCTAGTTTTTCTATCACTACTACATTCAGGGTAATTTCCTTAGTTTTTTTTTTTTTTTTAAGATTTTATTTAATTATTCATGAGAGACAGAGGCAAGAAAAAGGCAGGAGCAGGATCCCTGTGGGGAGCCTGATGCAGGACTCAATCCCAGGACCCCGGGATCATGACCTGAGCTGAAGGTAGACACTCAACCTCTGAGCGACCCAGGCGTCCCTAGTTTTATCTTTATATTCATTGTCTCTTCAATTCTATGTACTATTTAATTGCTACGTCAGTCTTTTTATACTAAATATTAAAGTATTTCTCATTTCTGGAAGTCCTCTTTTTTGTTAGCTTCTTTCTCTTAAATGTCTATCGCTTTAAACATGTTTTTGTAGTCTCTGTTTGGTAAATCTATTATCTAAAGTCCTTGGGAAGGGGAGTTAATCATGCCACTTATTGCCTTCTGACTTACTCATGGGGATGTAGTTTCTACATGTGTTGTGTAATTCTGAACTGTGAGCTCAGCATCATTGCGATTTTGTATGTGTGTATCCTGGACACCCTGAATTAAGGCACACCTATCCAGAAAAAGATACTTTTGCCAAGTGCCACCCAAATAATTCTCAAAATAACCCCCAAAATAAATTCACAGGCTTCTAAGAACATTTAGGTAGTGTAATTTTGAATCCCAAGTAAGACAGATCTGTGGTAACAAATTCCAGGAATGACTCACTCTCTGTATCAATAGCCTAAGCTAAGACAAGAACTGATTTATCCTTTATTGAGGGTGAGTGTCTAAGACTCCTGGCTATGTGTGTGGCTCTCAATCCAATGCCTTACCTTGCAGAGACCTAAGACTTTATCTACTGTGCATGTGTAATCTTTAAAATCCAGGCACCCTGGTTCCAGAGACCAGGAACTGTCCTTACTCCCAGGCAGTCACGATATCAACCACGTATCTGGTTTTTAGTTCCTGTTTTTGGCCCTTGGGGATTACTCTTAGTGTAAAATCTTTAGTATCAGCTATGCATTTCAAAGTGCTTACCAAGTTTATCCAACTTTCGTTAAGGTTTTGTAACTAAGGCTTTCACGTTAGTGGTCAGCCATAACTGCTGGAAATTTAAGTCTAGAAAGATGCTTTACCTTGTTATGTCAAAAAAAATTTTTTTACATTAAATTATCAAAACTGAACATCATATTCCAGCTGTGACCAGTCTGATGATCCATTCAAAACAATACTTCATCATCTGGACACTACATATCCACCAGATGTTCTTTCTCAAATTATATCACACTGTCATGGGTACCATTTTATAAATAATGAAGCTGAAGCATGTCAGCTTAAGGTCATAGGAGCAGGACTAGAGCTTGGATCTTTTAAGTGTCAGCTTTGGGATACTTCCATAACATGTAAGGTCAGAGGCAGGGAAAATGAAGGTTTAATCAAAGATACCCAATAACTGCTGTATAAGAGATATCTTATTACCCCATTTTTATAGATGGGGGAATTAAAGCTCAGAGAGGTTAATTTACTTAAGGTCATTGTGTAGTATTAGAGCTGAATTCTCAGTCAGAATGGACTATAAAAATTCATCTTCTTCCTTCTATACCAGGGGTCAGCAAACTTACTCTGTAAAAGGCCAGACAGTAAATATTTTAGGCTTTGTGGGCCATGTGGTCTCTTTTGCAACTATCCAGCCTTTACTGTTGTAGTGTGAAAGCAGCCACTGAGAAATGTAAAATGAATGAGCATCGCTGGGTATCCCATAAAACTATTTACTGAAATTTGGGTTTCATATAATTTTCACGTCACAAAATAATTTTTTTCAACTATACAAAATATGAAATGCATTCTTAACTCACAGGCCACACAAAAGCAGGCTGTGGGCTGCATTTGGCCCATGGGCAACTGGTTTGTTGACCCCTGATCTAAACCATACTGCCTTCTGAGAAGTGAGGTTCTCCAGTGTCTGCTTCAAACATTCCTTTACCAGGTTAGGAAAGACATGGGAAAAAGAGAATGGAATAGGTTCTTCTCTGGATGCTACGTGACTGAGGGGGTTGTTCCTGCCCAGGCTCCTCAAATTATAGCCCAAGCTCCTCAAATTAGTAGCAGTGTGGAGTTGTTTAAATGTCTTACCCCAACGTTAAAAGTCTTTTTTTCATGTCTCTCCTTAGCCCATCTTCCAAATTAAACCGTAAGCTCATTTAGGAAAGAGGACTATCTTACCATTTCCTTTAATGTTTAATAGTCTATGCACAGTAGGTGCTCACTATTCAGTGATAAATATTTGATGCTGCCCAATACTATCCTATCTCATTCACACTGTTTAATCAGTGGGCCCAATATATAAGTAGTTCAACAAATGAAAAATAGTAATAGCAGTTAGGCCATATGCAGGATTTAACAATATTATAATTTTTCTGTAGTTACTATGAAACCACAAAAGGACACTTAGTGTAAGGGACTACTATGGAAAATATTTCTTGGCCCTACCTTTTTTAGTTCCAGTAGCTATTTGCCTGTGAATACTAAGTCTGATATTCCTTCTTCTCCTAGAACCATTTTGGTGATCTGGATGGTGGCCACTACACTGCTTTCTGCAAGAACTCAGTGACCCAAGCCTGGTATAGCTTTGATGACACACGAGTCAGTGAGATTCCAGATACTTCAGTTCAAACTGCTACAGCCTATCTCCTGTTCTACAGCTGCCAGCCCTTTTCTATACCTATAAAAAAATGCAAGAGCTAGGAAAATGGTGTTTCCTGAAAACTGCAAAAAAGCAAAGTTTTGCTTTGTCATTAAACTCTTGCAACTTACTTGCATCACTGACATTTTTAAGTCTTTCCGGTATATTATTCACCCTTTTACATGATAAGTCTCTACCAAAGAAGATAGGTCCGGGCCTACTGAAAAAGGCAGCATGTAAATGATGAAATGCTAATTGATGGGGGCCTTCAAAGCACTGCATATTATGGGTTAATTTCAGGGTTCAAAATTCAATGTTTATTAAGATGAATTTATCACAGAACCTCTCAATTATATATTTGCAAGAAATTATTTCCCAAAGATACTTCATGGAGCTAAACCAAAGTAAGTTTTCTTCAAGTAGCTCTGTGACCTTAAGAATATGATTTGAAAATATTCAGTTAATCAAACAATTTAGCCAAGAACTCTAATAAGTCATTTAGACCAACTGCAGAACATGAAAAATTGCCAACCTCACAATTCAAATTCATCCTTTCATCCTCTCCCTGACAGTCCATTAATGGTGATTATCTTTCAGGAGCACCTTTTACAATCTTATTTTTATATGGAGAGTTTTTATTCACTTCATCTATAGCAACTGAGTCCGTGAGGTAAATAATAAATTCTAAGCTCCTCTCTGTCTCTTAATATATCATTTTGTAAAGATATGGTTCTTAATGCAGTTCACTTTGCAGTCATGCTTGACTCCTATGCCTTTCTATTCTAATCCGGACTCCCAACTCTGAGAATCCTAAGTGCTATATGCAGTTCTAGATCAAGTTGAAGGAAGAGTAAAATCTGGTCCTAACAGAACAGGGTAAATGAACTAAATTTTAAGTCAATGTAGTAGGATAAAGTGTGTGTGTATATAAAATAGTTTGATAATATAAAATTAAAGACAGTACACTTAAAGGATTTTAAATTATTTTTCTCATTAAGATTTTAATGTAGGTGTAAATGAAAATTCATTTTAAAAAATTAAAGAAAGTTTCCATTTATTTTTTTAGAATAAAGATTTAGTGCACAAATACAGCCCAAAGCCAACAAAAAAATAGCTTTGCCCTGTCATTTCCCTAAGAAAGCACTGCAGTTACTCAGAATAGGCCAAAAGAAAAACAAACAATCCTCTGAGTTCTAGGCTTCACAAAAGGACCACATATTATACTATGTACATTGATTTGATGTGCAAGTGTGCAATAAATATATACACATACATTCCTATCTGCTTTACATCATTCTAGAGTATTCATAGATCAAGCTGGGATTTAGAAATGTGAAAAGGCCATAACAGTGAAAAGGAAAAAAAGGATATAATGGTTTTTAGACCAGTAGAATAATAATGCTTAGCTAGTTAATTACTTTAACTTTGGAGCAAACTATAAAGGTTTTGAAATAAATGGTACCTGTAAGGAGTGCTTACTGCAATAGTTGTTAAATATTATTAGTCAGTTTTTTGATAATAGCACTGACCTAAAATATATGGTGATAATAACATAGCTCCCACTGTCCTAGAATTCCTCTAAAGGGCCAGCTATAGCTATCCAGTATCTTTATAAGTATGTCGAGTTGTTTCGCTCAGCGTCTTAAAAGATAAGTAGCTTATAACCTACTTCTCCTTATGTGGCTACATCAGCTGCTCGTGGTCCCAGTGAAGTATAAAAGAGGATATAAGCTGCCGAAGACTTCACAGAAGAAACAGAGATATCAGAAACTTCATGATCATCAAATTTAAACCACCGCTGTCTTGCCGCATTTTTACAATAGGCAGTGTAGTGGCCTCCATCCAGCCCACCGTAGTGATTCTGTGCCAAACGAGATGGACAATCAGTTCATATTGAAATTACTGACATATTTTAAATAATTCAAAGCTTTCTGTTATTTTCCTATGAAGGAACCACTTGCAACTCTTTCTTTTTCTTTCTAAACAAAATATGAAAATATTTAGTTCACAAGATACTTACTGAAACAGAAAACAAATTATATTTCTTCAAATTGTTCTTTGGGCCAATAACATACTGTGACAAGTCTAGATTTTCTAATGGGAAGTCCACAGAAGTCTGTAATTTCTGTTTCCACCTGCCATCATAGGAAAAACTGCGGAGCAAAACGTGACATTAATTATACCGACAGACCAAAAATATCAGAATGACTCTAGTTCATTCCTCGATAGTCTAAACTTTTAGCCAGGACCATAAACTCCATTTCAAATACTCAGAATTTCAGTAGTGAAAGGACCTATAAAGACATCTGGCTTCATTTCCTCTTTACAAACAAGAAAACAGAGGCACACAGATATGAAATGACTTGCCCTAAGTCAAACAGCTAAGGGGGTAGAGACGAGTCTTACCGTGGTCCCCAGACCCCTAGGCCAGCCAGAACTGTGAGAGGAGTTTTCTACAAAGGCAAAAACCTACAAAGACCCATGTTTATAATGTTAGTCACCACACATGTCCAGAGGACAGACTACTGCTGGGGAAGCTGGAGCTGGAAACTGCAAGCACACAGACTACACAGGTATCTCCTCCTTTTCAAAAGTTGACATTATGCTGCTTTGTTTTAATAGAAGACTTACGTTAGTCCTTGTTTTTGCTAACCAAAAGAAATCCAAGAGGATTTCTGCTTTTAACAAAAAAAGTGAACAGTGAAAATAGCATTTGGCAGTATTTGTTCTGCAGTAAGCTGGTAGAGGCAGCAGGCACCTTGCCGAGCAGCAAGAGTGGCACCACCAAGTCTTTCCCGGAATACTCAGCATCAAGCTGTCGGCATCTGTGTTTTACCTTGACTTATTTTGTGCATCTCTTTGCAAGATGTGTCCTAAGGCATCAGAAAGGCCCAAGAGAAGGTTATTTTGGGGGTTTGGGAATGCTCAAGATTTTCCATATAAATTAATGGTAACTGCTTCTTTGCTTTTCACCGTTTTGCTTTATGAAAGATTTCACAGGAATACTCTCAGGTAGCAGGGTGAACTATAATGGCATTCCATGATCCTGACATATTCTCCTTTAAACATCAAAATACTAGTATGTTGGTGAAATATTATTTCAGAATTTTCAAAAACTGAATTCTGAACCATTTATATTTTCAGATATTCTGCAAAGAGTAAGCAGCATTAAAAATTTTAACTGAACAAATGTGTAATCATTTATAGAATGTTTATACCTCCACAATCCTCAAGAAGAGAAAAACTGATTCACAGGCTGTTGTTGAAAAATTTACATGAGGAATTTGAACACATCGATGTTGAAAATATAACTGCCAAAGAATCTCCAGTAATACATAATGAAGCAAATAATTAAAATAGAAGTGCTTTCTTGAAACTAAAATTACAGCTCAATAAAAAGATCAAACAATGACCCATAGTTATCCCTCCATGGATAGATTATATACAAAGACCAAAAAAAAAAAAAAAAAAATCAAAACACTTAGGACATGTTTTATAACTCTCTATTAGAGGACCAGATCTTTTTCACAGGCTGGAGAAATCTGGACAAAAATGTCTGCACCCAACAATGGCATCCTTAACATCTTTAAGACTACACTTAAATCCTGTATTTCAGGGACGCCTAGGGCACCCCTGAGAAGGAGTCAAGGCACAGCTGGGCAAGTGCCTGACTCTTCGTTTTAGCTCAGGTCGTGATCTCAGGGTCATGAGGTCGAGCCCCATGTTGGGCTCCATGCTCAGTGTGGAGTCTAAGACTCTGTCTCAAACTTCTCAGACTTCTCTGTACATGAGCATTCACTCTTTAAATAAATCTTTAAAAAATTCTTTATTTCACTTTCAGCCTAGGACTAAATCCTTTTTTAGTTTACTGTTTGATAAATTTTATTGGCCAATCATTTTATTATACTGTATAAATACATTTTCATTTGATGTTTTATAATATAAAATTATATATATAATTATTATAAATAATAAATATATATTAAATATATTTTAAAGATTTTATTTATTTATTCATGAGAGACACAGAGAGAGAGGCACAGACACAGGCAGAGGGAGAAGCAGGCTCCATGCAGGGAGCCTGAAGTGGGACTCGATCCCAGGTCTCCAGGATCACACCCTGGGCTGAAGGTGGTGCTAAACCACTGAGCCACCCGGGCTACCCCAAATTTTGTATTTGAAATGTAATAATTAAATTTCCTTTAAAAAAAAAAAAAGATGACATTACATGAAAGAGTCATGTAGTCATTTTTGCTGTTACTGCAAACACTAAGGTAAGGAACTAGAGTCTCCTCATTTCTGCCTTATTTCCCTAATCAGATATTTTCCTTTGCAATGCATCCTTAGCAGGCAGTACAACAAAATGACTTAGAATGAAGGACTTAGAATTCCTTCATCTAAATGGTAGAAAAAATTGTTTACCGTTTCAGATGCACTAAAAGCACAGGTGGCAACTTCCAGATTTCTATCTTTTTTAAAGAATCCCGTCGAGTTCTGCAATGACTGCAGTAAAACCTGTTGTTATCTGTGAGCTTCTCTTCTTTGGAAAATAATCTAAGGCAATCCTGGAGGCAGAAACAAGTAGCAGTTACTTATTAATTCCTGTCTTCACAGTATCACTGAACGTCTACTCAATAAGTTACTCTGCCAGGCATGAGGGATATAACAGTGAACTAGAAGAAAACAATCCCCTCACAGACTTTATGACCTAGTGGGGAACGCAGATGAGAGAGCCGACCATAACAAGAGTGCAGAGCGTGGTGAGTGCTGCCTATGGTGGAGGGAAGCAGTCCTGCGTGTCTGCACTCTACCTGGTGTCTCAGGAAGTCTTGCTGGAAGAAATGACATTCTCGAGGAAGCAAACACAAAAATATCAACAAGCTAGCTAAATCACTCTCTTGTTGTGATGAAAACAGGCTACTTATTTGATCCCCCTGTGAAGCAAATTCTTATAACTTTTAAAACTTCTTCAAAATGCAAACTTTAAAAAACACCAATTCTTAAAGTATTTTATAGGAAAATATCTTTTAAAAACTTTTTAAAAAATCTTTTTCTAATATACATAGACATAATTAAAACAAAATGTATGTGTAAGTTTCATCTAAAAAAGTACATTTGTATGCATATAAACAGCATTTATTCTACAAATCATTTATTCTTGAACTTACCTGTAATGTACATTTACTTGTAGAAGCTAAGGGTAGAGACAAATACATGAAGGCCTCAAATGTCCTAGACTTTTTGTGACAGGTGAGGCACTGTACTGTGGATT